GGGCACGACTTTCACAGGTCCGTGTACCGTCCTATCAGCCTTCTTGTGGCACGTATGTTGCCCAACCCGCAACTTGATGCAAGCCAAGCCGGCTCTAGGCGGGGTGCCGAAAAGCAAATTTGCACGTTGGCGGAAACTTTTTTTTCCAACGGACCTTTTTGCTATCGTCCGAGGCAGCACGGTCCCTGTGCACAAGCCCACAGCCAAGGCAGCAGCCTACGGCAGAGAACATACAAGCGCAGAGCGCTTTCACACCACACGGCTGGCAATCGGCGGCTGGGAAAGCGAGTCGGCGAGGATGTCACTCAGAGGTGGTACATCCCCGTCAACATTGGCCGTGCCGGTGAGGGGCAAGGACAGCAGGCTGGCTGGCGCAGACCAGCGGAGAGTGAAGGCCGAGATGGCGGCAGCGCGCGAGGGTGGTGGCGCAGACCGCGCACGGCACCGTGCCAGCAAGCGGACAAAGGTAGCGGCCTCGGCACTCCAACGCCCCCCAATCTCAAGGGCTATGACGGTGAGCCGGCAGCGGTTGGACCTGCACAGCTCGATGCTCGGGGTATGTGCGCTCTTTGGTTCGTCCTGCAGTGAGCAAGGCCGCTCCGGCAGTACGGCCCCCAACCCTGCGTGGGGCCGGCAATAGTCAGGGGGGAGACAAAGCGTGGTGTCGACTGCAAGTTGGGCACCACCCCACAGCGGCAGGCCATTGGCGATGACCTCAATGCGTCGGTCGTCTTGGCGTGCGACACTTAAGTCCCTGACAAACACATTGAGAGCGACCGCTGCCCCAGCTTCTCTGCACACACGAGCAGCAGTGCGTTCGAGAGGGCCTGCCCTGGCCCGAAAAATGCCGGAGCGCAGGCAGGCGGCAAGGTGGTCGCCACAAGGATCAAGGTGTGCGCGGCAACCCGGGGCAGCGTCGGTTTGCCGAAGGAAGGCCCTGTGGCAAAAGTCGTCAACGGCTTGCGACGCCGGGCGCTGCCAACCGCGAGTGAGGTCAAAGGGACGGGTCTTCTTCAAGCTGGGGTGGCGCTTGCGCATGCAGCAACTCAGCCCAGGCAGGGGGCTCCAAGCCAATGGCAAACACGAGGCGCCGGCGGCACGCGCTGATTGCAGGGCCGACGGGAGTGGCCGGTCAGAGGCGAGAAAACCCGCAACTTCATGTGCGAAGTCGGGGTTTCGGCGGGCTATAGCAGAAGCCCACTAGGCAGCTGGCGCATGCCGCGTCGCACTGCTCAAGCCGAGGCCGCCGTGCCGCAACGCCAACTGCGCGCGTGCTTGAGCAGGTTGAGGCAGTTGCGACCCCTCATCGGCAAACAACAGTGCGGCAAGGCATCGGAGGACTGCACCATCGTGGCCTGCCGTGAAGCCGTGTGTGCTTTCGAGCGGGAGGGTGCGGAGGGCATATTGAGCACGCGGCGCTGCGCAACAGGACAGCAACAGCCATGCAACTTGGGAGTCATGGAGTGCGGGGAGGTTGTCGAGGAGGCCCCGCTGGCGGGCCAGGACTGCTTGCAGGGGTGGGCTTCGACAAACGTCGGAGTGCCAAGAGGAACGCCAAGGGCAACAACACCGCGCTCTGCCAAAGGGGTTTCTGGGCCACCAACCCAGATCGGGGAGTCAGGGGCAAGAGCGAGCACACCAGGTGGGAGAATGCCAGCGGAGTTCCAAACCTTTGTTTTAGCAGCCTTGAGGCGGAGGCGAGTTTGGTCGCCCAGAAGGCACGTGCAGCTGAATGGAAATGAAATTCAACATCCGCAGTTTGGTCACAAGATCATGAATGTTGTAGTGCGACTGAGCTCCTTTCACATGCACTTCCTTGCATTTCGACTCGTTACGTGTTCTACTTGACCATGCTCTCCACAAGCGATACACCGAATGCATACCCGAGAACACCATCCGACATGATTGCCAACGGCAGGTGGGCCGAACTCTGACCCTGGCTTACATGATACTAGCGGACTAGCGTGAATCGAAACTTCGACGAAGGCTGACGGCCGCAGGCGCCTCGACCTGGCCACTCGATGCGGAGCCTTTGCTGCGCGCTGCCGCAAGTGTGATGGGCTCCCTCACTTGCGAGCTGCCCATGGTGATGGCAACGCCCTGCGAATCGAAGGAGGTAATCGGGTCACATACCCAGAACTGCGATGCGCTCTCCGCGCTTCTTTCGGAACAAGAGTTGACACTTGTCATAACGTGCATTTGTCATTTAGCTTGCCGCGCTTGCGGAGTGCAGAGTGTCGTTGAAGTGTCAGACATGCAGTAAGTTCTCAAAGCCCAGGTAGTTGGACCATGCACATTCGGCATTCGCGCCCCTATCTGGATCGTGACTGGTCGGCCCGATCAACCAGTCAGGAATTGACACTGCCTTCCGAAGTACATCGTTCGTGCAAGCGGTGGTTAGCATCACGAGACCTGTGGCGATTGCAGGTCTATGTGCACGTTCATCAGCTCCTTTCAACTGCGTCCCACGCAAAGAAAATGCTTCACACGCTCTGTCCGGAGCTATGACTGCATTTTGTGACTGCTGGCCGCACACTGCACAACTCACGTGCTACAACCACAACGTGAGATAACGTGAGTCGGAAAGGATCTAGCTGACTCGGTACCCTTCACATCCCTCCACAATACTGCGCTGGGCCTCCGTTTGTTCGCGCAACCATGGTCGTCCTAGCTACTCCTGTCTGTTTGAGAGCAGTGAAACATGAATGCTCGTACAGCACATGCCACATTGCATACCATGCTCTGGCAACTCTGGTCATTCACAAGCACGGACCAAGAGATCGGAAGACAACCTTTTGCACAGAGGAAGCGTAAGCATCGACCCTAAAGAAAAGACAGTCTTGTGTATCAAAGCCATAGGCTAGACTTGGCTTGAGAAGGACGGGTTGCGAGAGAGCGCAAGGATACTGTACAAAGCGTGGACTTTGCCACCAGTGGCACTGCAGTTCGGCTGGAACAGTGAACCTGGTGCCATGGAGCGAAGCCCGAAGTGAAAAAATATCTAAACTAGATCGGGAAAGGGACTTCGGATACGATAGGGTTGCTGCAATCCTAGACAGCTTTTTCTCCTATGAGCAACGACTGCCCAACGTCAGTTTGAGAGAGTTACGGAGCACTTGCTTTGCTCTCACAACATCCCCATTCACAATTAACAAGCTGCACATCCTCTCGTAAAGAACCTTTGCTCGCAGAGGAAGCATCAACGGCTTAGAACTTCCGACACAAGACGGGAGCTGCAAACCTGCAGTAGAGCCTGTGGAAGTGAATGCGCAAAGCCCCCCAAACACCCCCGAGCCTTGACCGGCTGCACGGCCTGGAATCTCGTGCCGCGAGACACAGCTCGTGGTTTCAGAAATCTGTCAGATTCTGGTCAGGGCTTGGGTCTGGAGTTGTAGGATGTGGGCAACACAGCACAGGATCATGCATCAACTGCTGGCGTTTAAGACCTTTAAGGGTTACCACTGAGCATGTAAAGCCCCCAGGCACGAGCAGGGGCAAGACTCTGATTGGATGTGGGAGATTTTCGTGAGCTGCGCCAGATCTTGAGTCGCAGTGCCAGCGCGACACGACTTGTGCGGTCGCTACGAGCATGCCGATACTTCAGAGCTGGGTCCCTCTGAGCTGGTCGGTCCCAGGATTGTGCTGGAACTTGAGGGCAAGCCAGAGGCGGGATGCAGGTAGATGTCTTTGAGGTTCAAACTGCCGGAGTCGCAGCAAACTCGCTGCTGCCGCCCTGCGCCCGTGCATTTTTCGAGCTCTTGCCTCATGGAGTCGATCAAAGTGTCAAGGCTTTGGGGTACCTTGGCTAATTTCAGGAAGACCTCCGTGAAATGTCCCAAAGCAGGACGGTGATACTCGCACGCATGCACGAAGCAGATACGCGCGGGCTTGTCTCTTTTTTGCAACTGGAACGCCTTGGGCCAGTGCGGGATCCCACCACTGGCAGTCCTTGCTTCTTGCGGCGGCGGGCTGCGACAGGTGTCTGCAAAGGTGACAAGATTCATATACGCCAGTGGCTTGCAGTTGTGGTGATGTTGTGCTTCGGAGCTGTTGTCAATTGTCTGGAACCGATGCTGCAGGTCAACCTTGGTGAGGTACCACTCGTCATGCAGCACGAGGGGTGCCGCAGCGCTCATTGCCATGTGCAAGTTGAAGTTGACTTCCACTCCATGGGTAATGAAGTACAGAACCAGCAGCACGTGTGGCTCTCCGTTCAAATCTCGCAACAGTCTCGCCACCATCTGCCAGAAGGCAGCAGTTGTCGGCACATCTCGCTCATGCTGCACCACATCAAAACCAAGCTCGTCCTGGAAGAGTTTGCAGACCCGCGATCCCTGGTCATGAGCCGAATCGATGGTATCCAGGCTTGGACTACCCCCGATGAAAGTACTGCAAGAAATTACGACCACGCATCGCTTCGATGCAGCTGGAACTTCCACCAGCGAGACGGCCGGGCCTGCTTCGCGCAAGAGGCGCTCTCTGCCTGCCTGCCTTGAACAAGGCATCACCACAGCCAAGAGACCAAACAGCACCAAGACAACCACCATGCATACTGCCAGCAGCCCAGAATCGCTTGCAGGCAATGGGCTGATGCTTGGCTTGATCATGCAGGCGGCTTGAGTGGCCTGACACACCTGCCCAGGATGCACAGCTTCTAGGCAGCAGGGCGCCTGATGGCTTGAGGTGCAGTTGATGCCCTTGCTCCACAGGCAGCAGTTTGCATCGGTTTGCTCTGCCGCCGTGGTGTTGGCCACAATGCGGCAAGGACCTTCAAAGGGAGGCAAGGCGTCGCCACATCCTTCCTCCCTTGCTGCGCAGCCATTCCCACAGTTGTGATGCTCACAGCACTTCAAGATGCAATGATTAAACCGGAATGGCACGTTCAAGAAACCCTCCACACTGCACAGGCTAGTGCTTGTGACCCCGTTCTCCGGGAGACAGCAACACCTCATTTGCCAGTCATCAAGGGGCGCTTCAAGGCAGCGAGCATCCGGTCGAAGACAGCCCGCCTTCTCTGTGCAGGTCCTCTCCAGCCGAAAGTCGCAAGTCTCACGGGGTGTCTGGTCGAGGTAACACGCATTGCAGTGGTGGCGAGCTCGCTTCAGGGGCGGCTGCGGCCACTGCTGCCGGACATTCGCAGAGCACACATCCAAGTAGGCTACCAACACCACTAGGAGTGTCATGCCTGCAGCATCCTCGCAGCTTGAGCATGCATGTTCTGGCAGATCAGACGACCTCGCAATTGCACTGAAGGCATTCCTTCCACGAAGCAATCACGCCACACTTCACATGTTCCTGCGTGCCTACAACATCAGCACAGGGAAAGATGCTCCGCTCCCTGACTGCGGCCCCAGTCAGGGAGTTCAACCAGAGGAAGACCAAATCCCTTCCCTCCATGCAGAGAATGTGGGTTCAGAGTTTAGGGGTTTGGGATTCTAGGATTCTGGGCCCACCTCATCACATTGCCGGCGGTTTCCGGCAAATAGTCGGAACGGCGACCACGGCCTTAAGAGAGCCTGAGCGGAGCTTTGGATTTGCAGACCTGTGTCGTTACCAATTTGGATCGGCTGTTGAGCTTGATGGTCTTCGGGCTTCGAGGTTTATATAGAGTCTTGGATCAAGCGTTGAAGTAGACCCTCCAAAGCCCAAAACGACACAAAATAGAAATCTTGCGGTTGGGCTTGGGGTTAGAGTCTGCTTTATAGGAGTTCAGAGAATCGGGATTCTTGCCTGTAAGGCTCTGAGGGGTGCAGCTACACGAGACTACGCAGAACCAAACAAATCTGAGAAGTGGGGTTCAGGGTTGGTGCCCTGAACACCCAAACAGTGACAGGTTATCCGGAAGGGAGCCCAAAGCGAGACAACAAAACTCGCAGCCACCAAGCTCATGCGATTGAATAGCGAAGCCGAAATCACCCCTACAGCCCTACAGCCCTCCAAGCCTCCAAACGTAGGATTGGTCCAAAGATCCGATCTTCCAGAACCCCAAGCCCAATCCCCAAACTGCGTCTGCCCGCCTTTCTGCTCCGGGCCCTTCGGTTCCTCTGTCTCCGTGCTGTCCTTGAACCTGGCATCTCCAGGCTCCGAGCCCTCGGTCAAAGAAGGAAAACCGTTACTGTACGCCTAGAGTGGGAACAGGAATGCTGGTAGCGATCGCACGCGTCGCAGTCGTCGTCGTAGCAGCAGCAGCAGCTGTAGTAGTAGTAGTAGTAGTAGTAGTAGTAGTAGTAGTAGTAGTAGCAGTAGTAGTAGGAGCAGTAGGAGCAGCAGCAGCAGCAGCAGCAGCAGCAGCAGCAGATGCAGTAGCGACTTTGTCGTCTGCTCCGTGCTCAGGACCTAGGCCTTCCAATCCGAAGCTACAACCCACGCACGGCTAAACCAAAAAACCGTGAACCCAAACCCCCTTCCAAAATTCACGACGCTAGAAGTCACTTGTAAGCGCATCTAACAGTGCCATCGAATCCATTCCCCCACAGCCAAGCTCCGGAGCCTGTCCAGCGAGCTTTGGCTGGTGGGCCTTGAGAGAAGGCTCAGACTGAAGCCAGGTGAACTTTGGAATTCTGGGAGGTCAAGGGTTCAGAGTTTCAGGTCAAGGGTTTGGGGCAGCGTCTAGATTCTGGGTTCTATTTCCTGTTCTCAGCTCAGGGCATTTGGGTTGGAGCTTCACAGAAGCCGTCCAGAGAGCCAAGCTTCTGCCTCTCTTCACTGGAGGCTTTCGGGCGTGATGAACTCTTCTGTTATGCTGCACTTCAACATTCATGCATACATGAGTATGTGACCATTTTCGCATCAATGTGCACATTTACACAAGTACATGCATACATGCATAAACATACGTGTACATAAATGCTCCGTACACACATACAAACATACGTGCATGCACGCAGACAGATAGGCAGACATGCAGACGGACAGACATGCCCTTACAAAATGTTGATGCAAACTGTATGTCTGCATATGTATGCATAAGTATGTGTATATATACAATGCATATATTATGCATATACGTATACAGGTATACATATGCACACATATACAGATATGTATAGAGCGAGATAGAGACGTTTATTCATGTATCTACTTATATCTACTTACGTATTCATGTACATGGAATGTCCATGATATGGAAGCATACCTGCAATAATCTCGTGTGACAGATTCCATGTTCTGACACCGTCCTGAAATCCGAGCAAGAGAACAAGGCTCTCAAGCATCCTCAACCCGTCACCTGAAATCGAAATCCGATCCGAAATGCCATGTCTTGAAAGCCCCTAGACCTTTGGTCTGGGGCGAGACCGATTGCGCAGAGCCAAACCAAACTCTTGATTCGGATCTGAGGTGGCGTGGAACTAGGAACCCTGACCCTACACCCATGATCATGCTAGACCCGTAGCTCCGCACCTCGGTGCAGCACGGTGCGCGAGGGGATCGAGCTCGACCCTGGGCTCATCTCCCCCTACGTTTCTGGGGGTCTGGAGATTTCATACACTCTGGGGATTGGGCTTTGAGGGTTTGTCTGTGTAGATTGCCTCGGGGTTCGGCATTAGAGGAAGATGTGGTGATCCTTGGGATTTAGGGATTAATTAGGGTGTATGTAGAGTTTAGGATTTAGGTGTTTAGGGTTGCTCCCCCGAAGCCGTGAGAGCACCGAAGGAATGAAGCAGAACGGCAATAAATCGGATCCGGTGTATGAATCGAACCCATTCGAGCGCTAATTCGTCAAATCTAACCTCGGATACGAAGATCACCTGACCTGATGTGATACAAATTGCAAGCACAACTTGCGAGAGATGAAAAGACGACATGCACACGCCTGAGATGCGCGAGGCAAGAACTGGGACTGCGGCTGAATTCCTTTGAGGTCGAGGAGCCTGACCCAGAACGAGGGTTTGTCTGCGACACGACACCAATCCATCGTGCATCTGCCACCAAAGTCAAAGAAGTCAGTTCTGCCGAGCCTGAAGCCCGATACCCTCAACAGCCCTCAACCGGCCAACGGCAGGTTGGCTTTAATGATCGGGACAAGCAAAAACCGAACTCTGACTCCGTTCGCTCCCCACCTCTCCATAGCCCCGCGGTCCTGCCTCCCCGCATCACTCTCCGCAGCCTGGGCTGCGACGCCTGGGGAGTCTGGGACTTTCAGGCCCAACGCCTTGCACCACTACCTTGAGCATCAGAAACGCTCAGAGCTCCGAGCTCCCGGCGCCTATGAAGATCCTCTGCCGAATACCCCCTGCCCAAGACAGAAGGTGTCAAGCCATGTCAAGCAGCTTCGGGTGCACCTAGGCCTAGGCCTAGGCCTAGGCCTAGGCCTAGTCTTGGGGGCCTTCAACCTTGAGACGGAATTCCAGAAAGCCATCCGGTATTCACTGAAGCAGAAGCAGTACTCTCCTTTGCATTCTTGCTTGTATTGGTTGACAGGCGCAAAGCCGTTCAAGACAGTCCCCACCGCAAGCCACCACAAAGCATGCCAGAGCTACAGGGACGCCAGCGAAATAATCTCCCACAACGCTCCGGGGCCCGCACATGTGCATCGACATCCCCATCCCATGACAGAGCGGCGGTCGTCGCCTCCGAGACTAAGCAGGAACCCAGTCTTACAACTACTCTTGAAATCACAGCCGACATGCCCATGGCCCGAACAGACAGTATGGACAATGTGGTGGTACGCAAAGAAAAAGAAGCAAGGGACTTAGCACAATCGCATTCTGACACGAGAACCTCGTGGCAAAATGGCACCAGGAGCAATAAATACGATTGCAAACATGGACTGGTACTTGCTTTCGTGACATACACATGTCGGCGTAGGATACAAAGAGGAACTAGCTTCTGATTGTAAGCCGGCACACAGGAGTGTAATCATGCAACAGAACGGGCGAGAACGCGTGGATCTGGCACAATGCCTGACAACACCAAATTATCCAAGCAACAGCTTATGAGACGCTAAAACACAAACAGGCGATACATCCTCTCTGAGGCCGCCGCGCGTGGCAGCGCTGTAACAAGGGGTCCATGGTCTGAAAAGGAAGGCACCAGTTCGGGGCGGAGGATTCCGATGTAGAGCAGCCAAGAGCACTTTGAAGTTCAACTAGAAGCGCTGAGAAGGTTTTGTGAAACTTCGGGAGTCGTTTGGTGGCCCGGACCCCGTTCACAGAAACCTGGCCTTCAAACCCCTGGAAACCAACAAAAGAACGCCTAGATCAGTCCGAAATCCTGAACCCCAGACCCCAAAAGACCTACCAGTGCGGCAGGCCTGGCCGAGTCGCTGCCGCGGTGCCGTGGGCAGGCTGCCCTGATGACGAGGGATCGAAGGTCTTAGGGTCTTTGGGCTTTCTAAGATCTTCTCATAATCCATATTGGCTCATACTGCTGAAACGTAGCTAATAACTTTGTGACCAGTCCAGGTTCTCGCAGGGCTTGGCTGATATCTGTGCGACTGATACTTTTCGAGACATGCCGAGATCACCGATACGAGGCTTCGTTGAAGCCAAACACTCACGCACTTCCCGACCTTGGACCCCAAAGAACCCGAATCTAAATCAAGGCGTGTCCGAACGAGAGTCTGAGCCCAAAACGCCACCGCTGCTCAAAACCGGCTCTTCAACGCCTGGGTGGGTTTCCAGCTCCAGCTCAGAAACTTTATGGCTCGGAGCGATGAGCTGTTCAAAAATTGCGGTGCGGATCCCAGGATTGCATGTCAGAGCACGGCAGCATCGGCTTCGTAGCTCGAACACGGGGATTTCGGACTTCGACGCTTGCTGTTCACGTCTTCGAGCTTGTGTGTAGCAGCGGATGAAGACAGGACAAAACGATGATCCGCACCACCTTGCAAGGACAACATCATCATCATCACCGCCTTCCTCAAGATCCATTGTCACTAGACCCATCGGCACACAAATCCTTCTCTGCAGTTTCCTCATCATTGGTGCGTCTTAAAGCAATCACGGTCCGCCTGGTCCTTCCAGGGCTGCCCTGATCGTGGAGAGGTGCTCCTGAAGATTTTAGGGTTTAGGGGTTAGGGTTTAGGGTTCAGGGTTTAGGGTTTAGGGTTTAGGGTTTGCAAGACTAAGAGGACCTTTGGCCTCCCCTTGAGCAGCCCGCAGGTTGAGGGTGAAGGATTTTGAGCAGGACCCTACCGGTCACCTTAAAGGCCTTCGTGAAGAAGCCACAGCGGAGCGGTCCTTGATGGCGGTGCGGAAACTGGTAAGCTCCTCCTGGCTTTACAAAGGGAGCTTCTCGGGTTCTCGTTTTTCTCAGGGAGAAAAAGGGCCGAAGCTGTACACCACACCGCGCCTAAAACGGACTCGTTGGAGGACAGAAGAAGGTCAGAAAGTAAGCTGGCTGTTGTGACGCTCGTATCGCCCGTCCCACTGTTTTCCACGAATTGCACTGTTGAGCACAGCGTGTCTGTCTTCCAGTCTGGACTGCGTGCAAGGCCCTCTGCCTCCCCAGAAGCTGGAACTCCAGAAGCCCCTTCAACCTCGAATCCGAAGGCCCGAGACTCAAAACTCGATGGCAAAAGGACGAAACGACCCTCTTACAGACGGCGCCTCGGTGGGGTCAGGCGCGCGATTCTGAAGCTTGACCTGGGCGCGCTCGCACTCGCACTAGCAGAATAGGAGGTGTAGGAGAACCATGCGAGTGGTACCGGGATCACGAGTGGGAACACGAGGAGGAGCAGGAGGAGCAGGAGGAGCAGCAGTACAAGAGAAGGACTTGAGGCAGAGGAAGTTGTGGGAGTGGCAATAGCAGGAATGGCGGCAGCAGCAGCAGCAGCAGCAGCAGTAGTAGTAGTAGTGGTAGTAGTGGTAGTAGTAGTGGTAGTGGCAGTGGTAGTGGCAACCGTAATGGTGGTAGTGGTAGCAGGAGCTGCAGCAGCAGTAGCAGCTGTGGCAGCCGCAGTAGCAGCAGCTGTAGCGGTAGCAGTAGCAGTAGCTTGTAGTAGCAGCAGCAGTAGTAGCAGTAGTGGCAGTAATGCAGTAGTAGTAGTAGTAGTAGTAGTAGTAGTAGTAGTATTTGTTGTTGTTGTTGTGGTGGTGTGTAGTTGTAGTGGTAGTCGCAGTGGTCGTGGTTGGATCATGGTGGTGGTGGTGGTGGTGGTGGTGGTGGTGGTGGTGGTGGTGGTGGTGGTAGTTGTTGCAGTGGTAGTTGTAGTGGTAGTCGCAGTGGTCGTGGTGGTGGCGGTGGTGGTGGTGGCGGCGGCGGTGGTGGTGGGTAGCATAGTCAGCTAGCACTAGGGGAAACGCGAGCGAGCAGCAGCAGCAGCAGCAGCAGCAGCCGCAACCGCAGCAAGCTATCTACTTCAGTCATCGCAAGAACATCTCAATTGTGCCTGTTGCTCTTCAGATTCTTAGTTGATGGCTTGCTTTGGTAAGGGTGCGAAGGTTCAATGCAGCTGAGCTTGCTTTTTGAACTTCTTTTCCCACGTGATTTGAGGGCTGCGGTATGCACATCAGAAGCAATGCTTTCATATGCGGAACATGTCCCTCGGGAGTGCAACTGTACTAACACCCCGCCTCGAGGAAGCTTTTCCCTGAAAATCTTCATCGTCACCCAGTTGCTCTCGGAAAACAGTACTGACAAGGGGAAAACGACTTAACATTCCCACTAGACCTAAGACAATGGCAACTTGGACGATGGTACACTGTGCCACGGCTGACCGCTATGGAGAGCCTGGCCGGCATCTGTGATCCCTGAGCCCTCACTCCTCTCAGTTCTTCACGGGCTTCACGAAGAGCTCGTTCCATCGCATCGACCTTGCGGCGCTCCTCGGAGAGGAGCTCGTTGAGGTAGTTCACGCGAGTCGTGTACTCGTCTGCCCAGGCTTGCTCCTCCCTGGAGCTCACCCTTGCTTGAACTGCGACTTCGCGTGTTGTCACTTTGGCCTCCGACTCAGGCCTTGTGAGAGCTCGCTTCCCCATCTGCCAAATGAGGGCCATGATGCCGAAGGGAATGGCCATCAAAATGACGACCTTGATCAAAACTGCCGAGGCCATATAGCTAGCCTCAAACATCGCATCCTCGAGGCTGGCCATAGCCACGCTTAAGCCCAAGCCCTCAAACCCTGCACCCTCAGAACTAACGATCTGCGAGAGAACCAGGAGGATCGGGAGGACATTCTTGAAGGCCGGCTTCTTCACGCCGCTGGTCACAATCCGGTTGATCATCGCCTTGTGCTCGGCCTCCTCCGCTTCAGTCTGGCCGTAGGCGGTGTTGTCCTCGAGCCTGGCACCCGTGTAAAACAGGAGCTGTCTGACCTTGGGACCCGTGAGAACTTTTGTGCCCAGGTCAGCGGGATTCTTGCTTCCACTGATGGGTCCAACCTTCAGGATTTTCTCCTTCACGCTAGCCTGCAGCCACATGACCCCGCAGGCGAGATGCCTGACACGGCCTGTGCCAATGCGCTGGGCCATGCCTTGCGCTGCCGAGGAATCACTGCGGACCTTGGCCTCGATGACGATCATGCCCTTCAGGATAAAGTCCAGGCAATCCTTGAGGAACACCATTTCCGCGGCGCCTCCCACCATAGCAATGAATTCTGCCTCCCCAGAGCTCAGCGCCACGCTTTTCTGTGTTCGCACATGGCTGGCGATCAAGGAGCCGCCCAAGTAAAAATGGGTCGAGGATTTGCTGCGCCGCGTGCGGCGACAGCCTCCCCAGTCCGAGTCTGTCACTGACTCCAGCACGACTGTGGTGCTTGCCTCGAGCTCGCCGCTGCCACTGTGCTCCAAGTTTGCGCCTGGCTTGACGGGCCTGATGAGGAAGCCGATCTCCGGGACCCGCTTCAAGTAGCCCGTGACTCTGAGAAGCCATTTGAAAGCCATGGCTGTTGGCCTTGCCATCTTTCCCGCCAGCACTGAGACGCTGAACTGGATGTCCGCTCGGGTGTGGCTCAAGTACAAGAGCCTGCCCACGCACTCCTGGTAGAGCTTCTTCTTGGCCTCGTTGAGCTCCTCGCTGCTGTCCTCCTCGACGAAAGAACCATCAGCTGGGGCATCTCGCTCCTTGACGTCGTGCCCCAGAGAGTTGAGGAGGCCTTCCAGGTGCTTGGTGCCCGACATCATGATGACACCGTCATCGCATCGAATGTACCTCCTCTTGAGGAACTCAATCTCCTGGCCAATCTCAAGCGGCTCACTAACCTTGACCTCGACTTTCTTAGCAAGGACACCCACCAGGGCTTCTCGAGCTTGGCGGGTTGAGGCCAGGATGCCATCATCTGCGTGGAGAATCATCCCCGTGTCTTCCTTCCCTTTGGCCCGAAAGAGAGTGGGCTCCTTGGGAAAGTTCTCCATTCCACCTTCAACCAGCATCTCCTTCACAAACTGAAACCACTCGGCTGCAGCAATGCGCTGTCCTGGCAGGAGTCGCTCCAAGATGAACGGCACCTCTCCAACTGCTCCTTCCTCCACCAACGCCTTGTCCACGTATATAAGGACCGGGGAAACTTGAGGGACGTTGAGGTAGGCGTCCTTCACGTCAAGGGTGACGACTTCAAGGCCCTTAGCCAACGCAACAGCGATGAGCTCGTGGACGACTCCAAGTGAGGAAGCTGGAGCGAATAGCTCCTCTGACCACGGAGCCCAAGTGCGGAACTCCCTGGCGACGAGTCTGCTTCTCCTCACCCACGTTGGCCGCTTCCTCCAATCTCTGACGATCTTCGTAGTGAGCCTGGAGTAGTTGCTGTAGTCCTCGTCGGCTCGCGGTGCGCGAAGAGCACCCATCTGAATCAGTCTCTTCACCTCGGTGCGGTCGCTGACACGGTCTATGGGTTCCAGCTCTTCGCCACTAAGCTCGGGCGGCCTGTCGCCAAACTCATCCCAGCTCGGCTCCTCTGCATTGTTCTCATAGTCCAAGACTGCCTCGACGCCGTCCATCCATTGCTCCCATTGTGACTCGTCCTCCGGCAGCACGTCGCCATGGATCTCATTGATGCCGGCAAACCCTGGTGGATACAAAGAGCTTCCACTAGGGGACGAGACAGGACGATCCAACACAAGTCGGGGCCTCTTTGGCTGCCCCTGGCTTGGACCACCTCCTTCGCCTTCACGTCGTGGGCCATCTCCTGTGTCCATTGCCTGCGGACCGTCAGTGTGACCACCTGCTGTGTCGGGAACTGCTTGTGCTACTCTTCTTCCTGCGTCGGGAACTGCTTGAGCTAC